AAGACGTCGAGTCACTGATTGGCTGATGAAGACGTTTCTGTTGTTCACGTCTGAAGCGGCTTCACTTCGTCTGGACGACCTCAAAGTGGTTTTTGAGCTTTTTGCTTCATTTTCTTCTCGTTCAGGACGAGTTTGAACTGATTTAAAACATTTCTTTGGAACTCTGACGACGTCTTTGTGATTTCAGATCAGTTCTGAGTCATTTTGGAGGATTTCACGTCTTTTAAATAAACTTCTCGAACACTTTTAATCACAAATTTGACGTATTTAGAATAAATTAAAAGCCACTTTGGACCACATTCAGTGTTCAGCTTGTTTTTGTAACTTGGGTCTAGTTCTTAGTAACTCTGGACCGTTGTCCAGCGAGCGGCGGCGGCGCTGTGTTCAGCCATGTTGGTGACGTTTAGCCTCGTTCAGTCAAACCCTGAATTCATTTCTTTAAAATAAACTTTTTAATTAGTTGGAATAAGTTAAAAGCCATTTTGGACCATTTTGAACAAGTTTTTTTTCTAATTCTGGACCATTTCTGAGCCACCGCGGACGCTTTGTCGGCCATTTTGGTTCATTTCATCTCCCTGAGGACGAGTTCTACGTACGGCACCGGGTTTGTTCTGATCATAGTCAAGTTTGGACCATGTTTGAGTCATTTTCTGAATCATTTAGGATCATTTTTAATTGATTGTAGACACTTTTTCCCCTTTTTCAGCCATTTTGGTTCACTTCCCTTCCTGATGATTTTCGTCATTTCATTTTGGACAAATTCTTTTAAATAATCAAACAATCATCTCATCGAATCATTTCAGTCACTTTAAACAGATTTGAGGCATTTTAAATAAATTAAAGCCATTTTAAACCATTCAGATTCAGGAAGGTTTGGTCCGTTTTTAGATGATTGAGGACGTTTTCTTTGAGCGTCTCTGGTTAAATCTGAACTAAATGAGGACACGTTTAATCAGTTTAATCAGTTTAATCACAGCTTCAGTCGTTCTGGATCAATCGAGTATTTTAGGAACATTTTAATAACTGATGAGTCATTTTGGTCCATTTCTGAATCTTCTGGACAAACTTTTTGAAACGTTTTGAGGCGTTTATGAGACGTTTCAGGTATTTCAGACAATCTTGTCGTCATTTTGGGAAACCAGTACAAATGGATCTGACCAGAACCAGGTCCAGTGTTCAGACTGAGACACCTGGATGGATGTAGAACTGATCTGGTGTCAGGTTCTAGCAGAACCCAGATGTGTTCTTCCTCCTAAA